GGTTGTGTCCCCTTCCCTCCAGAGTAAGCTCCCTGCAGAGATGCATTGGGCACCATCCTTCTCAGTTTTTAGGAAGTTAACAAAAATGGAATTTTAAAAGCTGCCTTTTGCTAGTATTTTAACTATTGATCCGAGATGTTCAAAACCTGTTTTAAATTTGTTCAATATTATTTAAATATAGTTTTTATCATTTTAGCTTGTGACAAATATTTATTACATTTATTGCATATTGTGCTTTTGCATTGTATGATGTGTAATTATGCTTTGATGGGTTACGAAATGCCCAGCCCAGAGAGTTGAAATAATAGATAGATAAATTTTTTTAAAATGTTTTACAGGCTCCAAATGAAGACACCCCACCCCTATGATCTCCATAGGCCATCAACCATCCAGAATGTAGGTGTAGTGCTTTGCAGATGCCCTCTAATAGAACTTAATGAGGAGTGACCCTATAGGCCCCCATGAGGACCTGGGTCTCCCAGGAATCACCAGAACAGGTTACTTTTGTACAGGAAGTGGTCCTGAGATAACTTGGATGATGGAACTATTCCTAAGCATTGAATATCTCTTAGTGTATCTCAGTGCAAAAGAAATTTTTAAAAATCTGCTTTGGGGGATTCTTGGAGAATTCTGGGAATTGCAATAAAAAAAATTAGACGTGAATTACAGCCTAGGTGGCCAATCAGCCAGCTAGCTGTTCTGTGCACAGCAGTGTTTGCACAGCAGTGTTTCTAGTCCTCTGGTGCTGTTTTCATACCTTACAGCCTAGGTGGCCAATCAGCCAGCTAACTGTTCTGTGCACAGCAGTGTTTCTAGTCCTCTAGTGCTGTTTTCATACCTCTGCCATCAAATCAATCAAGGAAAATAAAAGCTGCTCTGACTGTGAATATAGTGAATGTTTAAATTAGTAAAAAGGGTAGGGTTTTTTTCCACATCAGTTTAGTTAACTTTTTATTTCACCCTTTATCAGTAAGTACTCAGTCCTGTTTTACTCATCATAAGAATCCTACTGCAGTATAAACAAACTCACACTAGTTCCTGCAGGCAAACAAGTGTACTGTATATTGCTTCATCACTCGCTGAATAGGCAATACAAATGAAACTGAAACTGAAAGCAGAGCACCGTCAAGTCCAAGGGGTGAAGTCTAACCCTAATGGACTGTAGCTCCATTAATATAAATATCTAATGTTTAGCTCTTCGTCATGTTCATATACGAGGAACGTAACTACTGTAACACAGTCAGTCAGTCAAACAATCAATCAACCAGATGTTATAGGTGTATTTCACTGTCTTGCACTCCTAACACTCCATGACAAAACCCACTCCCTGTGACAGCAAGATGCCCAGGTTCCTCTTCCCTGTTTTTTCACTATACTTGTAGATCTCTTTCTGTGCCCAGAACAGAAACAGATTTTTTTTTCCTTGAGCAGGACAGTATTATAGATGCCCAGGTTCCTCTTCCCTGTTTTTTCACTATAGAGCTCTTTCTGTGCCCAGAACAGAAGCAGATTTTTTTCCCTTCAGCAGGACAGTATTAGAACCACAACATGTCTTTTGCATCTACTGTTGAAGAATGCCCTTTGATTTGGCAAAGTCCTTTGAGAGGACTTTGCCAAACTGCCATCTTGCTCAAGAAACACTTACATTCTGTGCATGCTTCCATTTCCTGTCCAAAACTAGTGAGGAAAAAAATATATCACGAGAATCTCTTTTTCAAGAAATCTCACACAGCAAGATCTCATTGCTAAAAGAAATTTGCTTTCTTGTTTTATCACCAAGAGTGAGACACATCCCTATATCAGTCTCTCTCTCTCTCTCTCTCTCTCTCTGTGTGCGTGTGTGTGTTTAAATGATTACTTGAATAATTAGAACGTTCAAGAGATAGAAAAATATGCTCTTGGTCTTGAGTGACCAAACCTTGAGATACTCTTTCAAATGAGGCTTTCTTGTGTGCTAGTTCTGTTTATTAACTCTGTTCTTCAGAGGGGTCTACTGTATTCTTAAACTGCTTGTCTTCTTAAAGCACACAACTCATTCTTTACACAGAGAATGTTGTATTTTATGCCTATCATTTTAAAAGACGGTTTTCTAAAAAGAGGTGTTGGGAGAAGACAAAGCATGGTTCAAGGAGGATGGTGAACCCATTTCCCCCTCCCTTGACAACAGAACTGGGTCAGACAACTGATCCCCTTTCCTCCAATATGATGTGGTGGTGTTGGTGCTTTTTTTTAAAACTTCCTTGGCATATGCATCACTCAGGGCAGCTGACAAGTCTTAAAATAAAGCCTGACTGTCTCGTAAATTTTACTGAATATGTTCAGGTGATCAAAGCATTCCTTTAGAATATTATTTTATGCCTCAGTCTACATCATCTCTCTCTCTCTCTCTCTCTCTCTCTCTCTCTCTCTGTGTGTGCCTGCCTGCCTGCCTGCCTGCATATATACATGTGCATGTGTAAAGTGGAAACTGATTATTTGATAAGTGACTAGAATCTACTAAAAATAAGCCTTCAAACAAGCTCTTCAATAAACAGAAAATAGCATTCCCAGTGTGTGGTTTTGCTCAGCAGGCAGAGTACGTAAGCATCTAATCAGCACCACTAGGGAGAAGAGGAAGAGAGATAGAGGCTTTTCAAATGGGGAAAAAAGTGTCTCCCAGCATCCATTAAGTGCAGAAACATAATCTTCATAAGGATCCTGTACTGAATAGCAGTCATCTAAGCTGCTGTCTGCCTTGTTCTGGAGATAGCTCTGCAATCAATAGCACTCACATTGATTTTTCCAGCATGCTGCATTCCAGTAAAACGCCTACATGTATAAATGACGGAGTAAGCCATTTCCTGCTTAAAAGTCTGTCGGATGATATTTTGCAAAGGAATACAAAGGAAACCGACACAAACAGGAAGGGCATTTTGGGAAGGAACTGCCTGATCTGTCAGCTGACATATACCAGTTCCATCAAACTACCTTATGGTATCAAATAAAGAGAACAGTCTATAGGGGCCATCAGGTAGTGGCTGTCACCAAGTGGGGTGGTATACAAATTAAACAAACAAACAAACAAGGGGCAAAGAACGAGGCAGGCAACTTCCCAGGGCCAAGGGGCCATATTGGATCTTTTCTCCTAGTGTTATGGTGCCTGCTACTGAACTGTGGCATCAGGCCTTGGATTTGTACTTCCCTGTTTCTGTCACGGTTTCCAGTTTTGTGGCATTGGAAGAAACTCTTCATGCTACCGGTGAATTGTCCTCCTGCATCCTAAGGCCCAGAAGACTTTCTTTCCCAAAGTGACAAGAGATGAATCAGAAGAAAGCAAATGCATTTTTATATGATGGTGTGGTGGCGGAAGCATCTCCCAACCGCAATTTTGCAGCACAGAGAAGTGGAAAATGTGGCACATAGTCTGTGTGTCATCCTCCCTTAAATTGGAAGGTCCCAAGTACAACACTTAAGAACATCTATTTAGCAGGGCTGATAAATGAATTTTGGCCTACGAGCTCACCCACTCATCCCAAAGATCATGGCAACAAAAATGTGATTCATAACAAGGCAGCTGGAAGAGACAGTAGAGTTTCCTGTCTCACTTTGGCACAGCATACAAAATGGCACCCGTTCTCTCTAACCAGGAAGGGTGAGCTGAGTGTGTCCAAGCAGGTTTGAATGCACAGATAAGCATGCTGAATCAAGTCCTCCGTGCGCAAGGGATACAACTGTAACTCAATTTAAAAAAATGCTCCCCCAAAGATGTGAGGCCATGACTATTGATCTATCATAATCCATTCAAGTATGACATGATACGAAGCAAAAACAGTAAGAGATCTTCACAGAGCCCAGACTAATTCAAGCACATGATCTCAACCTGAGACAGCTTACACATCAAGTCGTATAAAATATTAGATGTGCAGCGTGTTATGGAAAACGAGCACCTGTAAAATGAATGTCTTTTCATTATCTGTTTTAAAAGTCAGGCTTGAAAAAAATACCAGTTGTATAGTTTGAATATACAGTACTACAGAAATTTAATCTTCTAAATACTGTATTCTACTGTTTTCTGTTACATGGATGGGGGGGAAAGATGATAACATCTTAGTTTGTATGTGGTTTTTTCTGGGGAGGGAGAAAGAGAGAGCAAGAGAGAGAGAGCAGTGACCAGATTATTCATCTCTCTCTTCTTCCTGCTTTCTTTGACATTTCAAAGAAATAATTGTAAATAAGCCATATTAATAATAAGTAGGATGAGCCTGCCCTTTACAAAGTAAGAGTGGGCATCATGTGGCCTGTGAGCTTCATGCAGCCCCAGTGGGAACGTTTTCGTAGCCTTCCAAGGCTACCACAAGTCCTCCAAAGTTAAAAAATGGAGGCAAAAACCTATTTTTACTCCCAGAAGATTTTGGGAGCAGTGGCTTCCACTTTGGGAGCTTTGGGTGGGGTCCCCTAAGCCCCCATGAAAAACAAAAGAATGTGGAAGTACCCATCCAGACACTCCCTATTTCCATGTTTTAAGGTTCAAAATGACAATTTCTGGGCCAAGTGCAGCTTGTGGTGGAGGCTGGGAACCTTAAAATCACCCATCCCTACTTTATAACAAGCACAGGAGAATCCCATTCTTGTCCATCCTACTCCATAAAATGGAGTATCCCCTGATCTTTTACATTCTGAATTCTCTTCCATCCTTTAAGTTCTTTCCTTCTTCTTCATTGTCTTCTTCATTCAGGTTGCTACTGTCTTTGTATGACCCTTCACTGACTTCTAGATAACACCTGGAATATTTTCATGTTTACCAGGCTCCTTGCTCAGTGCTCCTTAGTGGGCCTCTCTGTCTCTTAAACTGATCCACACTGATCAGGGGAAAAATAGAGGTAACCTGAAATTCACGCCCAACGTATCAAGGAAACTGCAAGAGGCATAGTCTGCAAAGTATCTCTTTTCAGTTCATGCGATTATGCAGGGATCGAATTATCAAGACATGAGCATATTAATCAACAGTACCTGGACAGTACCTTTCATGGCAGGAGGGGTATAGACACTCTGCTTCCTCTGTTTGGGGGAGGCATTCTGTGACTGAGAATCAAAAGAATAGTTTCAGTGGAAAGAGAAGTTTTAATAAATCCAGAAAGTGTGAAAATCAGTATACCTTGTTTCCCCAAAAATAAGACCTAGCCTGAAAATAAGACCCAGCATGATTTTTCAAGATGCTCATAATATACGGTAAGCCCTACCTTCCAAGATAAGCCCCAGTTAAGTGAAACCCTTCCTTCTACCATTGTGCAGCATTGTGCAGCAAGCACTAGAAGATAACATGACTGTATTTGAATAAATGTAGATTGTTGTACATGGAAAAAAATAAAACACCCCCTGAAAATAAGCCCATATGCGTTTTGGTGTTTTTTTTTGGAGCAAAAATTAATGTAGTAAAACACCCCCTGAAAATAAGCCCATATGTGTTTTTGTTTTTGTTGTTGTTTTTGAGCAAAAATTAATGTAGGACGCTGTCTTATTTTCGGGGAAACAGGGTAGTAGAGACATTGCTTTCTGTCTGCACTTCTTTCATCATACTCAGTGCTTCATTTTTGCACTCCAGTTACCAAATTTTTTTTTAATTTACACTGTTGTTTATTAACATTTTTCTTTATTAACAAGGTTCCTTTTTCTTAAAAATTGTGGCCCCATTCAAGGAAGAAATACCCTGTTTCCAGTAAGAGTCGTGAGCTCCCCTGAAAGCATTGCTCACCCATGCCGATCTAAGAAGCATGGCTTCACTCATGGATGGCTTTGTCTGCACACAACCAATTGGCTACACCAAGCTGTGATAGTATCATGCTTCCAATAGGACTACTCAGTGGTCAAGGGTGCTTGTGGAGCCCACGTGCTTTCAGTGTACTGTATTAGCTCCACCCCCTCCATCACTGCATTGAACGTAAAAATGCAGTGGTCTGGAAAAAGAAGGGCTGCTGTGTACAAAGTGCTTCTCTACATGAGCCAGAACCTTGATTTGAGTATGTGTATGTGGGAAGTATCATGGAGAGTTGATCTGGGGGAATACAGTAACTTCAGACAGCCACATATCCATATTTAATGCAGTGAGGGAAAGGAAAGGGCTACCACACTCCCCTCAATGCAAGTGAGTTCCTTATTGCTTGAATAGGGTTCTTGTGATCATTATTCCCTTGGGGGGGGACACATACGGTACTTTAATGAAGTAGTAGAAAGGCAGATTTGGGAACAACCAGGCAGCTAACAAGAGGATCCAGAGGCCTACACCCAAATTTTAATCCCTTTTAGAGTAGCCTCATTGAATGAATGGGAATTTATCAAGCCAGCACTCACATCAGCCCCATGGTTTCAATGATTTTAATCTACAGTAGTTGGAGTTATATTTTGAAAATACAAAATATTTTGTCCCATCCTCAAAGTATATGAAAGGAAGTTATAATATGTATTTCTTATATATAGTACGTATTATATATCATATGTATATGTTTCCGGTGAACTAAATCTATATGCCTTTGGTGGTTACAAATATGCTGCATCTTAGTGAGAAAAAATATAAAGACTTTGGTTTAAAGCCCATCAGGACAGACTTTTACTACCCGTTTAAAATTATAGACTGACATGCGTATTATTCAGTGACAGAACTATGTGCTCTAGAGCGGTGGCTTGGGTCACCCAGGTGTTCTTGGACTGCAACTCCCTGGAAACCCCAGCCAGCACCCCTAGTGATGAAAGTTTCTGGGAGTTTTAGTCCAAGAATATCTGGGGACCCAAGATTGGGAACCACCAATCTAGAGGCTTTAATTTCAGAAGAGGGTGCTCAGGAAGGCTTAATTTAGGAAGCACAAACAGGAAGAGAATCCTGCCCACTGTGGAATCCCGAGAGAGACACCAGGGCTTCTGACTGCAAAGAGAGAGGCTCTGTGTTGCCATCAGGCAGTCTCCTCTTCAAGGAGTCCCGTTCCCCACCAGAGACATCAACAGACAAGAACGACACCTTTCTTCCTGCTCAAGCCTGCAAATTAGGCCTTCTCTGAATGTCTGCAAAAGGCTACAGCCAAAGTACCGTTGTGCTTTCTGCTTCTGAATGATTCAGAAAAAAATTCTGAATGTTGTTTCACAGGAAATCTTCGCAGAAAGTATATGAAAAAGAAATGTATACCTCAGGTATTTGAGACAAAGTGAATAAAGTGCTGCTGGAGAGATGTGGGTCTTTAGCATCCATAGAGATCTATGAACTTAGGCAGTTGTAGATTGGCTTTGTGAAATAGTAAATCTTAAATCTCCACTTTGAAAACCTTATGACATTTCTCTTTAATCAATGAAGATTCAAGAAGATAGTGGTTCCTAATACGTATTTTAATGGCAACAGATGAAAAGATGCACTTTCTAAATAAATGACAGGGTACATTTAGAGAGTGCTAATTGCATGATATGATGTTCCTCATTACTGAATGTTTTTAAATGTTTAGGGTTTGATTTGAAACAAAAATCCACATAATAGTGAACACTGCTATTTGAAGGAATTATAGTATGCTCAATTATCCATTGAAAACTAAAGGGAAGTGGAACATGGACAAAGAGCATGCAAAAATGGAAGGAAAGCACCTTGGTGAGGTCATATATCACGACAATAAAAGGCCACCATATGTGACCTGAATGTCAGGACCACTTTTGGGGACCAACAGAATGAACTAAGCAACTTTGCTAGTGGGGAACTGAGCTCTTTGTCTCAGATTAAGTTGTTCTGCAAAAAAGAAAGCATGACTCACCAAACAGGAAGACAGGTTAAAGGTGTATACAAACAGAATACCACAGTGTAACCCCTATGAAATATTGGTTCAGCCAAAAGGGGTGGGGCAAAGAAAGAGAAGGGCTGTGAGTAAGAGGTTTGAATCTCAGAGAGTGAGGGAGAGCTGAAAAGGCTGGACCTGATGTTGCCAATTGAACTACTAAGGCCATTGCCAGCTTGGTTTAAGAATAATTTTTAAATTTTTTTGTTGGATGGGTGAATCTACATAGTGAATTCATGAATTGCATACAATTATATTGATATTTTATTTTAGGGGTTTGAAGATTCTCCTATGTTTTGAATACCCAGCCCAATGGAGGGATATATCTTGGATTTTTGTCTGAAATCAAAGGGATGCTTGAACTTTGCAAATTCTACAAGCAGCTTCTGTATTGCTGCTGTTGCCCAGGACTTGGGTGCACAAATCGTAGCATTTTGTTGTTATAAATGTTCATGCTGTCTGTTATATGAATGTAAACAAGAAGAGACTTGTTTTTTGGAATTGTGTTTGCAAGATTCATCAATAGCCCCATGGAACTTTAAAGTGTTACAATAGAACAAGATAAAAAGAATTAGAAGTGAAGCTTAGATGGCTGTTTATGGAATATATTGAATTTTAGTAAACAACAATTACTGTATAAAGAATGGAGTTTCAGGGAAGGACTGGGAAAAATGAAAGAATGAATTGTAATAAGAAGATGGGAAAGAAGAAGTTGTAGAGGAAGAGATATGATATGCAACTCCAAACCAAAACAAGAATGAAATTCAAATTTCCTGGAATTATAAAATTAAATTAAATTCATAAAGGGGAAAGCAGTCGTGGTTGGTGTGAACTGCCTGCTTCAGAGAAAACATGACATATGAAGTAGTGAGACAGAAGATAAGATAGAGTGTTTGTTTCCATGCAAAAACAGCACAAATCAAGGCACAAGAAGTGAAGAAATATAATATTAATATTACTGTCCTAGAAAAGGATTCAAAAAAGAATGGAAGCGAACTAAAATTGATTGAGACTTTTTTTTAAGGACTTCTTTTTCTAAGTCTATAATGGTGTGTGTATGTGTTGACAGGGAAAGAACATGTCGAACTGAGCTGCTTGCCTCACATCAACTCTACAGTAGAGAAAGTGAAGCAAGGCAACACTGACAAACAGGGAGTAGTGGTAATATAATATGATGATAATGATGAATTGATGGGTTGACATGCTGATGTGGAGAGAGTGCACGTACTGAATTTGGTTAATTTTTTTTCCCTAGCTAAAGAAAGAAAGGTCAAATGGCATCCGCGGCTGACTTGAAAAACGAACGTAAACATGATGCAATGAAAATACATGTTTGGACACAAAGGGGGGGAAAAGTAGGAGTATCATCATAAATAAAAGCATGATTTTCCATTACAGGAACAGATCTGAGAAGATTAGGCAAAAACAAAAGAAAAATAATAAAGACGACAAACATGTCATAGCACTGTAAAGACCGTTATATATTTTAATGTGGGTTTTCATGGGCAGGTCCACTTCCCCAGATAAAAGCTCACATTAAAATATAGCAGTTAGTTTTTAAGATGCCATGTTTTTGTTTCCTTTGTTTTTTATTTTTATTTTGTTTTTGCCTGATAACACTCGCAGACTAACATGCCTATTTTTTTTTATACTAGGTCTGAGAAGAACAAGTTTGAGAAGAAAGCAATAGGTTTTGAAATCATAAACAGGTAGAACTTGAGGCACCACGTACCACAAGGCAGTACTGAAAAGTTTCCCTGCTGGTGACAGAAGAATTTTAAAGCAACTCAGAAAAAAAGGTGTGAAGAATTCTATTTATCTAAGGGCCTGATCAGATGGAGCATTTCAATCATGGTTTCCACCACCACCCCTTTTAAAATATTGGTATATTCATATTTATAGTCACATGGTATATATACCACGGGGCCTGTTCACATGGCTATCATTTAAATTGGAGCATTTCTTGCTATTTGTACCGATTCTGAAGGCTACACCTGTTACTGCATATAAATCGATTCATTTTCTGTTCTGTTTCTGGGTCTCCACTGCCCTAAATTTTTCCTTTAAAAAACAACTCTGCAAGTGATATATCGTTAAATTGACATATACAGTATGTTGGTGTGTGGTAATGTAAAACTGTAGAAGGCAATACAGGAATTCAATTAATAACTGCCTAGGGACACCTCGCCAGTTGTTAGATGTGGGGTCACTTTGTTTCTCTATGCACTGTTGCTCTTCGTTGAAAGCAGCTGCTGACTTGAAAAAGTGATTTATCACTAAGCATTAAAAAAATTAAATGGATACAAGTGTGGTGGACATGCAGAGGCCATAGTGCCCAAGAACCCGACTTGTTCAAACAGTACATAAATTGACAACAATGTTCACATGAGACAAATCAATAAAGATCAAAGCGATATAGGGACCCACAACAACCATCAGATCCCGGCTGTGAAAGCCTTCAAGAATACATTGATACAGGGATTGTATCATTGTTAAAAGACCATGCTAGAGTAGTGGGGAAAAACCTGATTACTGTAGCTGGCCAAATGAATTTATGTTATCCATCCATCGTGTGAATGGCAATTTATATAACAATGTAAATGATGGCAGAATCGATATTAGTGGGGTTCTTTTGGTATGTGTGACCAAGCCCCAAGTTTAAATCCCTTGCCCAAAAGTGGGTGGAAGGAAACCCTAGTGAAACTTGTTGTGGGGTTAGAAATGTATCTGTCAGTCCTGCAGCCCCATCCCCTTGCTCTCTCTTTACCCAACCCCAGAATCTTCACAGAAATCAAAACCTGAAAAAAATGCTATTTTGGTTACTTCAGTTCTGGTTGCTTTGGAAAGAAGCTTCTTAGGGCTGACCCTAGGAAGAGCGAAGTGGCTGAGCAGCAGACTGATCACTAAAAGACAATAGATTGCTAACTATTTGCATTGTTGATTGTATTTCTACTGAATTGTGCTTGCAGGCTTTGCTGCCTCCCCCCACGTGCCTTCCCCCGCCAGATTAATCGGGCTTGCTCTGATGAGCGAAGGGCACCATCTGCTTTTCTGCCTCAAGAAAAAAAAGTATTGTGTTGACTCTGAAGTTGACCAGAGTTAACAAAATGGCAGAACTGCTACAAGCTCCTCCCCAAATTTCACGCAGTCATCAGCATTTAGCATTATCTGATACAGTGCTGCCTTCACAAGATGATTTTAATTTGTTCCATGGAAATAGCTGTCTTGTCTTGTGAAACCCAGTTCTCCATTGGAATGTCTTGTGAAAATTGTCCATAGAAAACGTCATCTTGCAAAACACAGTTCCCCATACCATATTGGGGAAAAGCAATCCCCTCACCTGCACTGCCTTTGGAAATTCAATGGGTCTCTGATGGCCTTCCTCCTCTTTTTCTCTCCAGCAACAAAGAAAGAGGGTAAAAGGAGTCAAAGCAGCCCCCTGGCTCCTGAAAATGGTGACTCTTTTTGCCCTGATCCTTTACCACTAGGGAGAAAAAGAGCAAGAATGCAATACATCACTGGGACTTGCTGCCTTTGCAATAGGTCCTGATGAGGAGAACAAAAAGTGAAAAAAAATCTAGAAAAACCAAGGAAATCAAAAATGCAATCTCTCATTAACACAAGTCATGCAGTTGGATTTTGCACATTTGGGAAAATCACAGGGATCAGCAAGACACCCAAAGTACAATGAATGAACCTTTCCCTGGGAAATCCACTTTTATGACATGGCATTTCCCTAGCAAAGTATGAGTTGGAATGGCCCTTGCATCTCCTCCCCCATTCTGTCCCCTGACCCCCCAAGGCATGGTGACCCCCTGGCTGCACCTCCCACTCAGTACAGGGCTGCACAGCCCCAGTCCTGCCAGAGGCCAAGAGAGCTCCTCAGTGTTTTGGGGTGCCGTGCAGGACCCCCATCAGGGGCTAGGTGTTCTTCCCACAATCCTCTAGTATTATGCTAATACCTGTGCTAATACCTAAAAGTAGGGAACTCAAGTACATAATTTATATTAATGGGGGCATTATGTTTTTGATTTTCCTGGGTTTTTTTTAAATAATCTCTTTACCCTTTGGTTCCTGGCTGTCTTCATCATCCTCTCCCATTTAAATTTGTAGCCATAGCCCCATTGGTAATGCTTTGCAAGATAGTTCCCTCCCCCATTGAAACACATTAATTACATAGGACCTAAGTGGGGGAGAAAGTGTATGCTGCTGTTCTTCTAGGAGGCAGATCCTGGAAAGCTAGAAGCATATATTTTCTCCCCCACTTTTTTGGGATAAAAAAGTAGGTCATATGTAATTATTGTGTTCCAATTGGGGGGAAAACTGTCTTGTGAAAATTGCCCATAGGAACAATATGTGAAGCACAACATTACTCAAAAAAAGTCATCGGTGAGGCAATCATCTAGAGAAGCACCACTGTACATACCTTTACTATGCACAAGTGAGAATGATCTATTGTCAGAGAAGTTTGCCTCCACCCCAGGTATTTGTATGAACCCCCATACAGGGCACGACCCAAAACCAGAGGAAGGCAAGGGTGACAGACAGCAATGGATACTATCTTAAACCTACCATTAAAGGTACTCCAGGGAGAATTTTAACTGAGTGAATAGAGATACACAGTTATGTAGGCATAGATGAGATGGCCTTATTTAGGGGCAGGCATTAGTACTAAATGAATGAATCAGCCAGTCATAAATGATGCAGAGACACACCTGACGTATCTGCTCCCAGCACAGACTGCTTGAAAGAAGTCCAGCCCAGTAAATCATATAGATACATAATAAACAACAACTGTTTTGAGGGGTTGTTCGGAGGTCATAGGGCTGATGTTTTTCAATATATATCCTGCATCATGTTAGCAGTTCTGTTGCTGCACATCTGTGCATGCTACAACAAAGTTTATTGTTATATTTTCATTGCTATTGTTATAAAGTGACAACAAATCACAAGGTATTTTCTAAATGTTTGTTAGAGAATTCATAATTAAATAATAATTAAATGATAATCAAAATCAGCATTATTAACTTACGTCATCTTGAGAATTGTTGTTCATTCTTTTCTCTTCTGTTTCTGTGGAATGCAGAAACATAATTAGAGGAAGTAACACATGAAAACAGACAAACAGTGCAGTCCTTTGCATGTCTAGTCTAGAATATTACCGTCAAGTCAGTTTTAAGTAGAGAACACTTAATAAATGGTTGACCCTTCCCTTCTTCTGGAGAGCACCACCAGCTTGCCCCAAGCTACACGACCTAGCTCTTCTGGGTTGCACAGTGGGGAGTTAAACTCACAACCTCTGTGAGCAAGAGAAACTTAGGGTGCAATCAGATGGGCATTTTGCCTGTGGCTTGGTCCACTGTGGTCACACAACATAATTGTTGGAGTGACCCAAATCATCCCCAGAGAGTTCCTGCCCACATCTTTCTGAGCCCCAAATTACCAAAAGCAAGCCTTCAAGGATCCTTCCAGCTGGAATTTCCAATATCATGAAGTGGCTCAATAAGCGAGCTCTCTATATATGAGAAGTAGATATCTTCTAAGGCTTTTGATCAATTAAAGCAGCCTTGCTTATTCAAATTAATTATATGGGCTTTGGGGAAACATTTAGTACAGGATGTAAGTCTTATGCATCATATAAGTGTATGAAAAAAAAGTTATCTGACCATATTAAAGGAAATCATTAAAATTGTTTAACACACACATTCACACATCGATGGACCTAAGTGCACGGGATTTGTCAACAGTAATCCTGGTTCTGTGGGCTATCACATTTCCCTATCCCATTAAATCCATGAAAATAAACGTGAATCAAAAGAAGGTGGGAAGAGCTGGAATTCCAATGATCAGCTTGGATTTGGGTCCATTTTGGATTCAGATCAGGTGCAAATCAGGCTGAGCCAAATCAGGTCTGAATTCTGAATGAGGTCCTAAAATAAACTGAGGAGTCTTGCACTGTCTTACTCACTGACACGCACATTTGACCTCAATGACACGATGTCATTGCAAAATCTGGAGGGCTTCATATGTTGATGAGGTCATCATTTCATGATCTCTGATTGCCTAACATCACCTGGAACCAAAGAAGCAGCCAGGAAAAAGTGGCACTTTGTTGCGGTTACATGCCATCAAGTCACTTCTGACTTATGGCAAAACTATGAATGAGCACTCTCCAAAATGTCCTGTCCTCAACATTCCTACTCAGCTCCTGCAAACTCAAGCCTGTGACTTTCTTTAGGGGGTCCATTCATCTGATATATGGTCTTCCTTTTTTTCCTGCTGCTTTCGACCTTTCCCAGCATTATTGTAGACAAAACCACTGAATACATTTTTTAGTGTCTTGGTCCAGTTCTCTGTGATTGCAACAGTCACTAGTGGAAAGATTGCAAAAGAACATAAAAACATAATCACATTAGCCACTCCACTACCCATAAAATGCTTCACTAGTGATATGGAAAAGGCGAAGTGGAGCACAGGCTTTGACAATGTCATCATCTACAAACCACACAATACTATCTTAAGTTACATAGCCTTCACTGTTCTGGTTCAGTTGTTCCACATTTTGGGGAAAGCACAGTATGTTTTCTTGTGTTTACAAAATTTAGTCCTAGGACAGTGGATCTCCAGGTGTTCTTAGACTAGAACTCCCCAAAGCCTTTGCCACTAGCTGTCCTGGCCAGGTTTCTGGGAATTGTAGTCCAAGACCATTGGGGACCCAAGGTTGGGAAACACAGTCCTAGGCCATCTGTTTTCCGCCTTCCACTGGCTGTAGAGGTTTAAAGGCTGTAGATCTCTTGTCATTGCCAGATGCCCTGCTTCAAAGGAAACGCCAGGTACAGTACTGATTCTCACCACCATAATGACTGTCATGATTGTCCTGAGCAGACTTTGAAGACCTCATTGAAAACAAACAAACATCGAAGTAAGATTAACTCAAACCCTCACAATCTCAGGTTATAAACTGTCTTCATAAAATTGTTGCTTCTCCTTTATTCCAGCAACACCTTACACTTTTTTTCCTTGGGCTACTGAATGTGTCATTCCTTCTTTTTAAAATTTCACTTGTTGAAAGAAATGGTGCCACAAAGGTGTATGTAGTTAACATTTAATTACTGAGGAAAGGTCATAGCTAGGTCTAACTCTGTATTAATAGCAGGTGTTTCTGTGAAGCTCTGTGCCGTGCAAGCTCCTCATTAAAGTACAATGCTTGGGCTTTGTAAGAGTAGCAAGGTCCTCTCTTTTATTATCACCCATATTATCCTTTATTATCATCCTCATCCCAGTGCAAAGGGACTAAGTACATTATGTTTCCCCACCATTTTACATACCCATCAGCCTGACAATGATTGCTTAATCTTTTGAGGATTCTTAATGACATGGGCAGAATAGGAGGTGCAGCTAACATTCACAACAAAATGCTTGGCTCCATGATAAAATAGGGAATTGCCCCTTCTCTTCCACACAGATGATTGTGTCTCACTGGGTTGGGGTTAGGATCTGGAAGCTAAGCACAGGCAGAGCCTCCAGATGCCACCAGGGTTGGATGACACCAACCCTTCCCCGCCCTCCCCCACTCTAGTCTTATATGGAGGTATGTGCCAGAAGATCCATAGTAATGTAACTGTTACTGTGAACAGTTCTTCATTGAAATTTGCTCTCAGTCCATGGTCTGTACATTTCCACTCTCAGCCATATGGTACTAGGTGTCTGTCCAGAACTTCACCCCATGCATCCGATTTTGAATAATACTAATCGACTGTTTTAAGTGAGGAGCTTGATTGGCTCTTTAAAACCTTGCATGTGAAATAGCAAACAAATCACTACAGAAAGATCCCCATATCCTTGGTTTCATTTATTTGTGGTCTGAAAATAATAAAAATGCTGAAAGAAACTAACAAACCCCCCACAGAAATATGTATTTCAGGGATGTAATTATCAGAACTGATCACTGAAGGGAGCCATAGACCATGTATAGGATTCACTATTATCTGCAGGTTCTCGCATCCAAGGGATGGGGAATTTGGCACTGATCCCCGTGGATATGGGGGTCCTACTCTACTTAATTTCAAAGTTCCTTTTACTCGGGCTGATTGCATGGGGAAATTCTGAATTTTATTGGGATCTTTAGTGGAGGCACACCTTTTCTTGCAACACTTGAGCAAGCTGAAGAGAATTTTCTTTTCTTTTCTTTTCTTTTTTTGCTGGTTAGTTGCATTTTCCTCCAATATTTCCTCCACAGCCAATGCTGCAGGCAGCGCATGTGGCTCTCCTCTCTCTCTACTGCATCCTCACAAAAATCCTGTGGGGTAAACTAGGCTGAGAATGGCCAGCCCTTCAAGTAAAGCTCTGTGACTCCGTGAGGACCACAGCCTAGATCTCCCAGATCCCAATCCAGCATCCGAGGCACAACATTATATTTTGTCACTTGTGCTCTGGGAAAACTCGGGCTGGCACGATCACACCAATTAGGGAATTTCAGCCCATTTATCTCTGTGTCAGAGCTTTATCACATTATGAAAAAAAATATAAGGAAATATGTAGATTTTAGCAAGCTAATCCCTCTCTTCCTGGCAGCATTTATAAGTACTGCTGTCTCCCTTTAGACAGATATTGCTCTGTGTATTGATAAGAAGGACCCAGATGGTAATAAAAACAGTCTCGGAGCTTATCAGTCCCTGGCACCAAGTAATAAAGCAGTGTAGCCCTTGTAAGAGGAAACCAGCTGTACTGAAAAGGATGTGTAAATAATTCCTTGGAACTGAGGAAGGTTGTTTCTATGGCACTGCTTTCTAATGAATGATGCTATCTGAGAAAGGATGCAAGGTTCAGCAATAAAATTGTTCAGTGCACTTGCAGATAGTCCCATTTACAAGTCTACACACCCAAAGACAGTCAAAAGCAACCTGCTGGTTCAAGACAAAATTGCAACGGCCCTTGAACTGTATCGTTGTTTGAATTAGCACTGCCTGTAGTCTGATGCAAAGTACTGTATAGAACTGACCAGAAGCAATATTTCTGTTCTGTTCTATTCTATTCCCTGAAATGCTGTTGAGAATCTACATAAATGGCCTAACCTTTGGGTGCAAGTTGCCATAGGATAATGAAATCTCTGTAGCTTTATCGGTTGCATACTCAGTTGTGCAATTTGGTCTGCAACAGACAATACTTACAGAGATTTCTTAACTTATGGCAATTCGCTTCTAAAAGTTATGCCAGTTGTGTCTCACGGGGTTGCACAACAGTATTTCAGCTGTTTATGTTACGTTACATGTTATGTTACGTTATGTTATTAATGATCATGTGCTGTCAAGTCAGTTGTGACATGGCAACCCTTTTTAAGGTTCTCCAGGTAGAGAAGACTCAGAAGTCATTTACCCTTCCCTTCTTCTAAGGGCTGGCTCCGAACCTTCCTTGAGGATCGTGTCCAGAGAGTTCAGCTTAGGGATGAATTGTCAGCTCCTTAGACACTCAATTGTGGCATGCCCTAGGGATCACCAGTATCCACAATGCTTTTTAACATCTATGCAAAGCCACCAGGGAAGGTCATCAGCATGCTGATGACACACAACTCTGTCTTTCTTTTACAACTTCTGCAGTGGACACTGTCTGGATGCTCAAACAATGCTTGGCTTTGGTTTTGGAATTGACCAGGGCAAACAGGCTCAAACTGAACCTGAACCACACAAAATTCATCAGTTTGGAGTAAGGCATGGATCCTGCATCTGCATTCTCCAGAATCCACCATCCCCTCCATCCTGCAGCCCTTGTGTACCCTAAAAACCTGCTCCAGGAAGCAGAAATTTTGAGGCATGGTTCATACTGCCTGTACCCACCAGTAAGACTTGTATTTAGTCCAGATTGTTCACAGCCTGTGAGTACACAGTGCACATTAGAGTAAACAGAGACCTTTTGCCCCTTAAGACAGCTCCACTTTTAATGATCTCAGAAATGTTTTCCTCCATTTCGAGACCTGGCAGGATTTTAGGAGACTAGCCTGGGAGAGACCTTCGCCTGAGCCACAGGCCCTGTTGCTGAGCTCACCATCAGACATATTCTCCCACATGTAACCTCTC